TTAACCCTCTGATTCCCAGTGCCAGGTCAGAGAACAAAATAAGGGCTGCAGGAACAGAAAAGTGATAGGACTGCCTCTCTGAGAAGTCAGAGCAGTACTCACAGGCCTGAGAGGGTGTCCTGCTGGAGGTATGGCAGAGCCTTCGCATTCGAGATGATTTCCTGTGGCAAGGAGGACGGCTCCATGCGCTGGAACATGGGGGCATTTTTCTGTATGGAAGAAAGGAAGAAACTGAGCCTGTAGGAAATGTGGATGAACATCCAGCACTTCACCACCCAAGCTCCCACCACTTGGGACAGGGACACCATGCTCATGTTCGTTGTCAGGAACAAGGATGCACACACACATGCTTTGTAGTCACCAAACCCCAACCTGTACCATCATCTTCATGCCTCAGCTGCATCCTATCCAGTTGGCTGCCTGTTTGGTTGGGATGCAGTGGGAAGCAGCAAGAGTGCTCTGAACATCCCCATCCTGCCCACCACATGCTGAGCCTCACCTGCTCCTCCAGCTGCTGCCGCTGCTTCTTCGCTTTGCTCTGCTTGTAGTAATCCATGATCATCATGGCTGCATATATTTTCCCAACAGTCAGGTCAGAGGCTGAGAGCATAAGAGGGAACAATGTGGGGACACTTGTGTTGTAACAGAAAGAGCAGGTCTGAAGGCACCATAGTGGATCCCAGGAAGAGCCTTGCTGTGGGATACCCTGGTGACCCTCAGACTCTTCTCACCATTCCAAAAGAGAGAGTGATGAGCACCCAGACATTCCTCGTGGAGATAAAATGGATGGAGGTGGCTTGAAATCATTATCATAGGCCACACATCCTCATCATATCATCAGACGTAACAGTGCAAGTGATTGCTCAGCCTTCCTCCCTCCCCAGTATGCTCCAGAGTTGATTTACAGGTAACTCTGGGTTTGGCAGGAGTAGATCCATGCAAACTGGGTGGTTTTCAAAGAGAGTTCCCAAGCAGCCAGGCAGAGCATGGCAGAAGTCAGTCTGTAGCAACATAAACCCTTTTCCCACTTCTCCCCAAGCTGGGGATGGGTCTGACCAATTCCCACCTCCCCTTGGGAAGAAGTTGGTGTGGGTATGATGGGAACTTGGAAGCAATGACACTCACTTTTTGGCATGGGTACCAACAGGTCAAGCATCTTCTGGGACAGGTGAGGCCAAATGGTCAGGATCTCCTTTTGAAGCTCGGCATCTAACTGCTGCCAATCTGCACCACCTTGACCAGTGGGAGGAAAAATGGCCCACACGCATCAAGACCAAGCACCAGGGTCCAACTAACCTCCCCTTTCCCATCTGAAGTGAGGTTCACAAGCAGCAACCAGCTCTCTGGGCTGGGAGGGCCAAATTGCATCAGCGAGCCTGGTCTCCTGCTCTCACAGAGAAACTTTCCTACCATTCCTTCCATATGTGCCTCCATCTCCCCATCCCCTGCCCTCCCACTCAAAGCTGCCACCTTCAAGCTTGCCTTGGGTCCGTCTCTGCAGCTCCAATCCTACTCCAGCCCACACACACCTGCTGCTGCCCCACTTTCTCTTTTCTGGTGAGCAGATCATGTGCTGGTGAAAGAGCAGCTCCACTTGGTAAATCCTTAAATGCTCAGCAAGGCTATGCATGGAGAGCAGAGCTCTCTGGCCAGTGGTGGAGGGGTTTGCTGAGCTTAGGAAGACCCAGGCACGTTTGGAGCTGTCAACATGCACCAACTGGAGACACCTGAGTCCAGGGCAACTCCAGTGAGCTGTAGGACACCCAGGTTCAAATCTCTGCTTTGTCTAGAGGGGCATACACATCATTTCAAGATGCAAAGAGTTGTCTGAGCACTGGGCTTTGGGCTGATATTTTGCCCTGGGTTGGGTTTTCTTCCAATAGCTGAGCTGTTCCCAGGAGATGTTTTATTGAAAATGCCATGTTTCTGCAGGAAGTTTTTGATCTGATGAATCAGAGCCTTTCTAGCAACAACAACAAAGGAGGTTTTCCTGCTCAGAACATTTTATCTTCCCTGAGAGAGATATTTCTCTTCCCCACAGCCTTAGGAAGCCAAGCACATCTTTTTCTCTCCTCGGTTTGGTTTTGTACATGGGGAGGAAGGGGAATTCTCTCTCTCCTTTGTTACACAGTGGACATCAAGCTGCTTCTGATCTCTAGAAACAGCTTCTAGTGAAAATTTTTCCACCTTCTCCCTAAAGAAATAGATTTTTTATACATATATAGAAAGGAAAGAAATCTGCCTGTTTAAGGTAAGTGCTTCCATCCATATGCCAGGCTCTAGGCCACCAACCCCAAACTGGCTGTGAGGTCCTCAGCCTGCCCAAAGAGAGAGGGACTTTTTGCAAGGGCAAATAGTGATAAGACAAAGGATATTTAAGTTAAGGTCTTTTCCAACACAAACCATTTTAGGATTCTATGAAACGACGATGGTCTCTCTATGACCCTTTTGGCTCTGTCCCCTCTCTATCCCACCAACATTACCTTTGGCAATTTTGATGTCCAAGGCCGTGCGTATCAGCGCCATCAAGGTGGAGGTAAAATGGACCGTCATGTCCTCGGCCACAGGCATGTTCATCAGCAAAGGTCTTTTCCAACACAAACCATTTTAGGATTCTATGAAACGACGATGGTCTCTCTATGACCCTTTTGGCTCTGTCCCCTCTCTATCCCACCAACATTACCTTTGGCAATTTTGATGTCCAAGGCCGTGCGTATCAGCGCCATCAAGGTGGAGGTAAAATGGACCGTCATGTCCTCGGCCACAGGCATGTTCATCAGCACCAGTCTCTGCGCAAGAGAGAGAAGAAAACAGCGGACGGAAAACAATATCGAAAAACACATCGACCAGGCTGGAGGAAAAAAAATTAAACATTAAACAAAAGGGAAAAAAAAAATAAAAATTAAAAAATAAAAAGCAACAAAGAGTGTCAAAACAGCACAGCCAAAAAAGAAGGGCAAGGATCACCCCACCACCCACCCCCGGCTCCTTCCACCCCAGGACACCGGCTCACTGCCTTCCAGGGCTCCTCCTGTGCCCTGGGAACG